GGGTGGCAGCTTGCACGCTGCAGCTCTTCTGTGAGGGGTATACAGTATCTTCCAGGCTGCTGTCTGGCAGCACTCGGTGAAACAGATCTATACATTTACAGGCCCTATCCAAGGTGCCGGCAACCCCAGGCGTCTCCAGTGCAAGAGTGGGGAAAGGCATATTTCCAACATGTGGGAAGTTAACAGACATACAGCAGTCTTGAGATATTTCCTTGCTGAACCGAAGCTCTATATGAGACAGCACTTTGAAAGCCCCCCCAACGGTCTTTAATGTTTTGTTTAAAAAATGTAATTAAATGTAAACCATATCCGGTAAGCAATTTTATTTTAATAGTTGCAGATAATATCAAATGTGACTTTTTGCATTGCCCTGCTATTATCTTTTAAGCCTGCTGCATTTTAACATCTGCATTGTTTGGCATAGCTTTTCTTTTGCATATTTCTTTAGTTATCCCTTTAGTTATTCTCAGTCCTCTATTTCTTTCCACAGTAAGTCAGTAAGCCTTTCCTCACCTGGAAACAAGGCATGATACAACTGAGAGGGGATGTTGTGTCCATTACAGGACACACACAATTACACATGCAGAAGGCACATGCAAATGGTGGATAATTTAAAGATCCCAGTTAAATCAGCCATTATGTCTTTGGAAAAGAAAACTGAAGTGTTTGAAAATTACATTGAAACCAGGTGAAAAATATGCAGATTTACACAGAAAACACCCCAGGCCTGAAGCAAAACCAGGACTCAAGGGATTAAATTCACTGAGTTGAACAGCTGATATCTGATGAGATTTGTACTGATCTGAAGAGAGACTGTCTATGTAAATTAGGATCATAAGTGAAATTATTTATTTTTGCTGCCTCATGGTCAACAGGAATACCAAATTAGCAAAGATCTAATGTTCGGTTTATGCATTAAGGCCTTTCAGATCAGAGGTGAAAGCCTGTTTCATCTCCAAAAGAAATCATGTGGGCTAAATGCCATTAATGTCCCATTGTTTGGTCTATGGAACTCTAGGAAGCAACTGTCCAAAAAATTCAATATTCCCACAAAGAGGAGGAATTCTTGATTCTGTCATATCCTCTTCCGTTTTTTAAACAAAATTGTTCAACGTCCTCTGACTGACTAACAAGTGGCAGTACGGCCTATGACAGGAGACCCAGAGATGAGATCGTTGTCATAAAAGCAACTGACATTAGTACCACAAAATCATAACAACATCAAACAATGCCAAAGTAACAAGGCCTTGGACAAGTCCTCAATAACATCTCTGCCCTGGCCAACAGAGTTCCTGCAGGAAGAGTAATAAATGCTATTTTAGGCTTTAAAGAGGAAATGGATATAGTAGACACTGTGGGGAGGGGGGTGGGTTAATCCCACACAATAACGTTTTCAGTCAGTACTTTTTTTTTAAATGAATCCAGATTAGATGCAGGAGAAATAGATTTCCACAGAGCTGTTAGTGCTCCTTTGGAGAGTATAATTCCACTTTGCCCAGTCATTTTGATGCTATTTTTTAATCTACAGCAAAGTGCACTCTATTCAGCAGCAAAGTTGCTCATTTGGAGGAGTGTTTTTAACTATAATGACCGACACTTAAATAACCTCAATACATCAGGTGGGGCTACACACTGGTGGTAGTGGAGGGGGTCCCCATTACCTGTAAAGCGCTTTGAGTGGAGTGTCCAGAAAAGAGCTATATAAGTGTGAGGATTGTTATTATTATTATAAATTATTAATACTGGTCATTACTCATCACTCCCATTTCTTGATTCTCTTAGATGACATTTTATATGGATATAATGTATTTAATATTGACAAACCTGTGCTGTGGTGCTACAGCATTTACAAAAACTGTATGGTTCTGGGGTGCAGCAGTGGTCAGCATTGTGACCTCACAGCACGGGGACCCTGGGTGCCATTCCAGACCTGGGGTGCTGTCTGTGTGCAGTTTGTATGTTCCCCCCTTGTTCACGTGGGTTTCCTCTAGGTGCTCCGGTTTCCTTCCACAGTCTAAAGACATGCTGGTAGGCTATTTGGCTTCTGGGAAAATTGGCCCTGGTGTGAGTGTGTGTGTCTGTGTGTACTGCGATGGACTGGCATCCTGTCCTGGGTGTACTTTGCACCCATTGCTGGCAGAGATAGGCTCTGGCTCCCACCATGACCCCAAATTGCAAGAAGCAGCTAGAAAACAGATGGATGGATGTACTGGTCCTCCCAGTTCCCAAACCATAAAGGCTTCAACTTGAAAAGCAGGCTGGGAGGGCTGGGAACATAACGTCTAGACCTCATTTGCAAGAACAACATCACTGTCTGACTGTGAGCCTGCAGCATGAGCAGAAATTACTAATGAGAGCTCAGTCATTTCAGAGAACTGATGCATGGGCTGGGTGTCTCTGTTGTGTTTGGCACAAGACAGGTAGTGTTATGCTAATATGACTAAACAACTGTTGGTGCCAGAAACAAAAAAATGACCAAATGACTATTCTTTTTTGAAAAAAAGGGATTGAAAGGACCTATTCCATTAATTCATCATATTTTTGTGCTTAAAGTAATTACAGATTTAAAGAAAGGCCACCATAAAAAGACAGTGGTAGCATCCTTCCATGTGTATGTGTCACAAACAAGAAAGCACACATTCAAATTTGTCACGATTGCCGCCCTCCTCTTAAGGGCGCTCCAGCCCTTCCTCGTTTGTATCATTCCTGCCACCTGTTCCTTGTTTCTGTTCGCCTTTAAAAGCCAGGCGCTTACTTCACCCTGTGCTCTGCATCAGATCCCCGCATCGTGCGAGTCCAGGACCTGGTTGCGCCTGGCTCTGTTATGTTTTTAACTTCCTGCTCCTGTCCTTGTTCCCCCCGCCGGTCCCGACCCGGCACCTGATTTTAATCTCCTGTTTGGACGGATTTCCCAGCCTTGGACCTTTTGCTTTCGTTTTTGGATTCCCCCTTTTGGATTTCTTCTGGACTGTTCGCCTCGGCCACACCTCCCCCGATCACCAGCACCGTATGGACACGCCCCCCCTGTTCATCCCTGTTCCTGCATGACTTTTCCCTATTTCTTCCTCACTATTCTGGATTGTGTCGTCCGCACAGGGTCTGGATAGAACTGTTCCTTACAAAATTCAGTCCATTTCCATGCAGGATTTACTGTATTTCCTGCCCTGGGCCAAAGCCACAAAAATCCCATTCACTGGAACAGCATGAGCGTCTACATTCCTCGAGCCGAGGAAGTGTGCTTTATTTTGAGGTTCTGTTTTTAAAAGAAGACGTAAAAGTCTGATCTTTAATTAATCTGGTCTTCAGATTTCTTTGCCCCACTTGTTTCCCCGGAGACAAGTTTGCTGATTTGTAACTCTGCTGGCTCTGCCAAAACAGGCATTGTCGTCTCCTGAAAGCTTTTAGCGGTCTCGTTTGGAAGCATTTTCATAAATAAATTAAATACATGAGCTTTGAACAAAGACTCTGAGGGAAAAGGTTGGCAAAATATGCATGAGGAGTTCATAAGCTAACCAGCTTTTGTATACTAGTCAGACTGGCATTTGCTATTAATTGGAAACATGAAGAAAAGAAGTTGTTGGAAGTCATGAAAACAGCAACAATAAGGCAGATGTAGCCAGTCTGAAAGTAAGAGAAATTACATTGTGTTCCCATGTCCCATGTGTTTTCTTTGTAATTAAACTTTGAGGGGCAAATAAACAAATGTTAGAAATACTTTCTGAAAACAGCCTTTTCTTTAGAGACCTCGGTCATTTTCCTCTTTTCTGCTCATGGTGGATGATTTCATTAAGTGAAACTGACCTTAAGCGTTGAAACCCGGGAAAGAAAAAGCATGCAAACTCCAGAAAAACCCACAGGAACCCGTTTGCTACAGCTATTTCAAAGAAGCTGTTCCATCCAGTTTAAATGCTCCATGCAGCCTGTGAATCTACAAAGAGGACTAATGGGAAAGTCACAAGTTACCCAAACTATTGCATTTGAGAGAAGAAAAAAACTGTATGAATTGAAGATTCGTAAACATTGTAGAAGAGAGCCACGCAGATTAATAATTGGACATTCTACACTGGGACTTATAAAGAGGAAAAGTAATCAAGATTCCAAATTTGTTTGGGAGGAAAAAAACTAACAAAACATTAAAATCACAAAATTAAATGAAATCAATATTTGCGTAATTATAAGAATATATTAGAATATGTAATGTTAAGGGAGTAACGTCTGAATGTTTGCTGGCTATCCCCTCACACTTGTAACAGTAAAAACCGGGCTTGTTAGAAACCAGTATTTTTACAGAAAAGAAACAGAGTTTCTCACCTAATGGGTTCAGGCTTCAGATGGTAGTTGAGGGCCTCAGTCAGAATCTGTTCTGAAAAAGGCGGCTTGTTTTCTTTTCTCTGGATATCCACGTGGGCTGTGTTGCAGAGGGCGTGGACACCACTGTCAGTCCGGCTGGACACGTACACCGATACCTCATTCACTGGGTTCAGTTTCCGGACTGCATCCTGGCATCAGAGCAGAAGCACATCACCATCACAGGATTAAAGAAGACATCGCCGCCACCTTCCTAGATCAAACTAAAGTAAAACACCCTTTCATTCGCGAGAACCCCTACTGAACAGTCTGAATCTCAGTTATTGAGCTCATTTACCCCAAATCCACTAGCCCGCTGGACTACCGCACCAGGGACTGCCTGAAACAGAAAGGACTGGCATTTTCCAACCTTTTTCTGGCTTCCGGAAGAATCAGAGATATTTGCAAAAGAGAATCTCTGTGTTCTGTAAGCAATCCAAAGCATCTGGAGGAAAGACAGTGTACATTTCGTGCCTGGATCGTTTGAGCTGCCAGACTGTGATTTTGTTTCCTCTTGTAACACCAGCTGCCCAGGGAAAGATGCTAATTAGACTTGGAGCACCAAAGCTGAGGGAATGACCAAACTCATTGGTGGTTACCTTGCTCCGTTTCCCATAATTCCCTTGGGATTTGGCGTGTCAAATCTGCTACTCCTTGTTTCTCTTCTCAAAAGAGCTCGAGCTTTATCAGGCTTAATCTCACTGCGGCCTCCTCCAACCACAGGTGACTTCTTGTCTTCATCAGCCTGTTCCTCTCTTCAGTCACCGAAAATGAACAAAGCTGAAGCAGAGGCTCTCAAGAGACCAAACTGCGCTTGCACAGCATCTGTCTGGTCTCTGAGCACTGGCTGTCTGTAGTATTAGAGGATTAGAATGCAGGAGCAGGTCCAAAATGCTTCCTTGGCATTGGGCTTTCTCCATCTTGGTCCTTGGGACAGGTTGGAGGTTACGGTTCTCATTCTGAGCAGACTCCTAGTAACACAAACTTATTAAGCCTTTAATTGAATTATATCTTTATGACTGTTTACTGAACTTATTTCTTTATTTCCAAAAAAAAACCTTGATTTAGGTCTACCACCACCAAGATATTTCGCAATGAGAAATCTATTCCAGTGGTCTTTAACTTGTTCAATACATTGTGTCTTAAACAAACCTAAACAGATGACCACATAGCCAAGATGCAACGCAGAATCACAATTACACTATATTAAACACTGCAGTAACAAGTACTCCTAGTTATGAATGGGTCCAAAGACTTAAATTCCTGAAATCTGGCATTCTTTTAGAGTTCTCTGAAATAAAGGGAGCTCTGAAACTCATCACTTGCTGAAAGGGTAATTGAAAATGCTAACCCTATCCAGCTTGGTCAAAGCCAAAAATAATTACAGTCAAGCAAATAGCTAAACTGGGTTTAATCTAAACATATCAGAGTTTGGTTAGAACAGAACCCAGAAGAGACAGGGGTTTCCAAGCAACAGCATCTTTAATTTTGTATCATTACTAGCAGGTATCAAAATTGGATACACTTATCTGTCTTGAGATTTAATGAATACATTTCTAAAACAGGGTTATCCAGCCTTACTGCCTATCAAACAGCTTGTTCTGATCCATTTTCACCAGGTCTCAGCCAAGCATCTAGCCTACACACCTAGCTGTTGCCCAGGGTTTCAAAATGAAACGCTAGTCAGGGTTCAAACATTTAGTTCCTCCCAAACCAGGCTAAACTGTCGGAGATTTTAATAAATGTTGCTTTCGCCACTGAGCCAGAGCTCAGACCTACACTTGGCAGGGGTGGAAAATATAATATTCGTGACACATTTCTCAAATTCTCTCCTGGGGCATAACAAGACGTGGCACTTTATTGCACAATAGTACACAGAGACCCTCATTCTTCTTCAATATATTACTGCAAAACACACTATAGATTCTGCAATATGGCTCTACAAAACATGAAAGGCTTCTCAAATTTGTTTTTTTTTATATGAATCTGCCATATACAGATGATTCACTCCGTGTGAAAAAAACGAACACACCTTCAGCTGTTAGCTGTCAAGTTGTGTTTGAAAATCCGCAGATTCAATCTGGGAACCGAGACAGAAAAAGGCAAAGATAGGAGGGCAACGGAACAGAACACTTTCACATTCAGTACCTCTGAAGAAAATGCGGTTTTCTCTTCCAATAAGGAAAAAATATTTTTAGCAAATAAACTGTACTTTCATGAAATGTATATAGAAAACGTCTGTAGACAAACGCTTTACATCCTTCTGCAGTAAATGTACATAAATATGTTTGTTTCTAGTTAAAATACAGTCACGGAATAGTGCTATATATTGTTAAACTTCTGAAATCCACCATTAAAAATGTAGAATATTGGGCTCAATTAGCTATGAGCATTTCTGTTGAAAATACTGGCAGCCATGTTAGAAAGAGGGCAGAACTGTCCAGGTAAGTGTTCAATAATAAAGAGTGTCCATAATAATGCCTGACCTCAAAGTTATTCACACAGGCAGGCTGAAGAATCTTTTATACTCCTGAAAAAAGCGAATCCAAGGGCACTTTGATCACGCATTGGAAAACCTCAAACATACTGACAAAGTCCACCCAACTAATTACCTCAAGCTCAACATGGAAACAAAGGCCTAAGAATTCAGAGTTTGTGTTTGTAGGTCTAAACAGAGGAGGCATTTTGCTTTTGAAAGGAGGACTATTGTAGGTAGTAGCAATGGAATGAGAAAGCTGAGCTGTATGACCTTCTTTCCTATTTTACCTTAAGTTATTGTGTCAAGTGATAGTTCAGTGTCTCTCTGTTGATATTCATTTTTCAAATCCCAAAGGCAATTCAAACAAGACACAAGCATGGTATTCCAGAGATCCATAGATGATTAAATCTGATTACGTTTTTCTTCCGCAGTTCTGCATTAAAAGAGGTTGTCCTTATGTTTTAAACCAAAACCTTACGGTGCGCAACAGACAATTAGAATTTCCTTTATAGGCCTAACTTTAACTCCGCTAGCTGTTAGTCATCTTCCATCACCGCTAGAACACACAGTTCAGTAGAGGTGTGATGAAGATCACAAGCTTGTGTCCTCGAAAATGTGTAGTCGTGCTGTCCACTCTTCCTCTCTCTGCTCACCCGCAGTGCAAACGGCAGAGCTGAGGCATCAGGGCAAGGGTTGGTGAGGGCCTCCCAGACAGGAGTGCAGTCTGACAGGTGCCTGGGCCAGCCACAGGGGGTCGCTGTTGACCGGTGAGCCAAGAACGCCCCATGTGGCAAGTCCAACTCTGCCCCCCCTTCGGGCTCTGAACACAACCATTTACAAAGCACCACTACGCCTACAGAGAAGCCTCACCCTTCTACTGCCGGAGAAGTGAATGCCCAGCTTCCAAAAGGGTGAAGTCACCTACTGTAACAGGCTCAGTGCCAAACAAACATAGACTCAACCTGTAAGGGCCTGTATCGGGATCATGGGTTGGGTCCTATGGACCAGACTTGACTGACTTTCCTCCTCAGCTATGACCTCAGCTGAGTTTACCGGGATTTCTGAACATTACCAGTTACACCCAGGGAAGAGGGGCTTAAAGGGTCTGGATTTCCTTTTCCTTTCCTTCTCATTTCATTTTGGCTGGGTGATCAATGAGAGAATTAAAAAGTCACGCACATTTCAGCTGCTCTTCAGACCAAGTCCAACAATCAGTCTGAGGATAAGACGGTTACTGAAAATGTACTGTGTATATGAATTTAAACATCCCCAAATTTCACAAGGATTCTAGGGGTCTAGGACTGACCGCAGATGTCTATAACTACACACTGAACCCCTTGACCGGTCTTCTCAAGGAGCCACCTCACATTTTAAAACTTCTAAACCTTTGAAGTGTTCAAAGCTGTGAATTTTATATGAATTAAAACAAAAAAATAAAAATAAAACAGTGCAGGCCTAAATACTTCAAGAAACACAGAAGCAAATCAAACATTTTGAGAAACCATGATTTTATGTGCACTTCTGTTGGTTCTGTGATAAAATGTAAGCCTTTCTGAGCTCCAAACACCGGGATATACCTGTACATGTTACACTGAGCTCTGAAATAGATGTGTCACAGTTTCTGAACATTTCTTCTTTTGATGTAGATCCGGACGACTGTGAATTCTAACAGAGAGAAACTCCTCAATGTGCCAATATTGGTCTAATTTATTATAGTTGGAATTACTTTTTAACCTGTTGAATCTCCTAGGCCAGATATAGCCTTTAGGAAAACAACTACCTGCATCAAAAATCAACAAGAATTGAAATAAGACTGCCACTGTAGAACTATATTGAAGATATCCAATCTTGACATCCATGAGTTTTTTTTCTAAACTCTATTTATTGGTACCATCTCAATTGCTTGTTACTTCCTATAGTTTTTATACAACTGTATCCAGTGGCCTGAATGTTAGAACGAGTATGAAAAAGTATTGTTTTCCCTGTTTACGTTGCAAAGTAATATTGTCTTTTTTTACTGAAATAAAACACAGACCAAGGCTGAGACCTGTGATCACAGAACTCCAGCTGAGCTCAGCTGAGTGTCTTCACCAACCCAGTCACTGAGGGGGCTCCCAGCTTAAAAGAATGGCGAGAAAGTGGTGTCGTGTTCCCTGTCTGATGCTCCCATCATGCTCTCTCTTCGCAGTGTGGTGTGGGTGGCCTGACAGGGCACATTCTGGAGGATGCGCTTGTGCTTGTACACCCTTCATCCATCATTCCTCCATCCAGGTCCCTGTGATGGACTGACGTGCTGTCCACGGTGTAACCTGTCTCGCTCCCATTGCCTGCTGGGATAGGCTCCAGCGGCCCTGTGCCCCCGTACTGGATGAAGAACTATATTGAAGATATCCAATCTTGACATCCATGAGTTTTTCTAAACTCTGCTTATTGGTACCATCTCAATTGCTTGTTATTTCCTATAGTTTTTATACAACTGTATTCAGTGGCCTGAATGTTAGAACGAGCATGAAAAAGTATTGTTTTCCCTGTTTACATTGCAAAGAAATATTGTCTTTTTTTACTGAAATTCATCCAGTACGGGGGCGCAGGGCCGCTGGAGCCCGTCAAAGCAGGAAATGGGAGCAAGACAGGTTACACCGTGGACAGGACGTCAGTCAGTCACAGGGAACT